CATTTTTTCTGTAAAGATGAACTGACCCTTTAAACTGTGTGTCAAGGAAAAAATAAAAAAACAAAACATATGCAGTACATATCTGCAACCGATACACATTTCTCTGATTTATCCCTTTCGTCCCTCAAGTACATAAAACATTCAGTTGATATACCAGAAATGCTCTCAACAATTAATTTCCTCCTGTTGACTGACACTACATGCCTTTCTGTGGACTGAAATTGCAAGACATGGGGGTTGATTTACTAAAACCAGAGCATGCAATATCTGGTACAGCTCTGCAAGGAAACCAATCAGTGTCCAGGTTTTATTGTCAAAGATTAATTGGACAAGCTAAAGTTAGAAGCTGATTGGTTACTGTGCACAGCTGCTCCAGATTCTGAGTGCACCAATTTTAGTAAATCTACCCCCTGGTGTCAGCCCTTCCAGCTTTCTGTTGTTAATCTACTATTTGCCCAGTTTCTTCATCTGCACAGCATAGGGACTAATTTGTTGTATAGTGCAAGATAAGAACTGGTGGGACTCCTTGAAATTACCTAGAATGTGTGCACAGGTCAGCTCTGAATATCTGCCCTGATCTACAGATATGTTTGCAGTTATTGAACAGATATAATAAAGTGCAACTAAAGTTCCGCTTGTTGTTCACTGCGAGCAGGCAGGTATTTTTCATTGCAGAAGAGACGTGCAATGGTGTAACAAAATTTTTAGGCAGAAATACTAGTGATAATTTAAAAATTTTTTGAGGGTATAAACTTTTTATTGGATAGAAAAACTGATTTATTACCCTATCCTGTCCCGCTGGATGCAATCCAGCACTTTCAATCAAAAATCTTTTGTTTCATCTGTGGCTCTAAAGCCAACAGATTGGCCCGTGCACAATGTACCCTCCAAAAGATATGGGTGGACTAGGAGTTCCAGATTTTAGAAAATAGTGCATGGCGACACAACTTACACAACTAGGCCAACTCCGTCATAGTGGCTATAGGAAAGACTGGGTGTCTCTCAAGGCTCAAGTATGCTCCCCACTCCCAATGGATCTACTGGTATGGATCCCCTCAAAATGTTGCAATGCTATCTTATGCCCCACGCTCTCCTACTCTCTCAATTTGTGGGATATGAGGTGCAAACACTGGCCCTTACGCTTCTCACACATGCCAGCAGACCACCTCTACAATAACCCTTTGTTTCCGCCGGGTATGCACCCTAATCGTTTTAGTTGGTAGTTAAATAAGGGACTTTACCAAATAGGAAATTTCCTTGACCATAAAGTGGTATGCCCATCATCATACTTTTATGCAGCTTGGAGATGCCAACATCAGAGAATTTTCATATGCAACAAATGTATCATTTTCTAAACACCTCCTGATCTGGCTGTACGCACCATGTTTGAAAATAGATGTATGCAAGGAACTCAGCTGCAGGGGTGCATCTCCATGCTGTACTTTAACTTTTTACCACCCCATCGGCTAAACTCTCTTATTAGGTGGCATGGGAGAAGGATCTGGGCACGGCTCTTGAGGAGGAGGACTGGCGGCCTTGGAACTCATGTGTTTAAAAAGGCCTAAATGTCACTCTGATAGAAGCAGGGTATAAAGTTTATGCAAGATGTTACTTGGTACCAGATTCTCATGAATGTACCTGGGATCATTGGCCTCATGCTTTAGAGGTTGTGGCCAGACGGGCACAGTTTTACACATATGGTGGACTTGGATAAGGATCCATTTTTTTGGAAGAGGATCCATTCTCTTATATACTCGGTTACCATGGTCAACATAACTAAAGACGCTTGCATTGCCTTGTTAAACAAACTGGTTGAGAATATCCTGAGACATACACAAACTTTAATCTAATTTATTTTTTTGTCGGCTAAAATTACCTTTGCCACTGCTTGGAAAAGTTTGATCATTGATATAGTCTTGATGAAGTGTAAGCTCACTTGGATTATGCTTAATGAAAAGATTGTGAGTATTTTGCGAGATAAACAAACCCTAGTTGAAAAAATTTGGACCTCCTGGCTTATTTACCTACAGGTTCCAGACATATGGGTCTGACTCCAGGGCTGGTGAGAACTGGGCTCCCGGTCGGACCTCCTTTCTTTCCTTTCTATCTTAGCTCTTTCCCCTTTTCCCTTTTATCTTTCTTTTCTTTCTTGTCTTTCGCATGCCCCCCCCCCCCTTAAGCTCCCCTTTTTATTTTAGGCCTTATGGCAACCTTTATCTAGTCGAGAAGTTATTTGTTCCAATAAATTATGTCTATTGGAAATATCTTTGGTACTTAACAATACACGTCAACTGCACTATTAATTTGAAGTCTATCTTCCTGACGATCAGTACTAAAAGTGCTACAGCCCCCATTGGTCCCAACTGTTTTTATCATTGGATTGGTCTTACAAAGCCCCAGACGGGCCTGCAGTATCATTGAGTTTGGGGGGAAGCTGGCCTGGTCCCATAACTTAGTCTTTTAAATGTCATCTTGCCACGATCATCCATAATTCGCTGTTTCATCATGAGATTTGGATATTTGATATTTTGCTTTTGTTCATTGATACATTCACTTTTCCAATACTATGCTCCCCTCCAGAATCGGTAAGGGCTTACTGAATAACCCTGCCATGATTTTATAGCTTCCATGTGTACCATTAACATTATGTGAGCGGTGATGTCTGAAAATGTGCTTTTTTGTTATGCTTTGGGGTTTTTTTTATGTGGAATGAAAATTCTAATGAAAATGATTATATGCAATATTAGAAAAATTATAAAAAAAGAAAAAATGTACACATTAATATCATTCCGTTTGCAAAGCATTTAGGTCTCTCTTATGAAGAGTCCAGCATTTTTCATACAGGAACCATCCTGTGTATAACTGACTAAACTAATCATACCCCCTCTACTAGCAGATGGAAGGAATGTGACTCTTCCTGCTCTCTATACAGTCTGATCTCCCTACTGTTCAGGTTTGTTTCAGGACAGCTGTGAAATGAGCCAGAATTGTTAATTATTTTGACACCCCCCCCCCCCCTTCCAACTGCTGGATGCTAACATATATAGGTTAATTAAAAAAAAAGTTTAAACCCCAATGCATAATCTTCAATTATTTTTAATTAATAAATAACTGGACTGTTTTATATATATTTAATGTGTATTTGCCTGTATTAGGACCTAAGGGGTGGTATGTTAGAAAATGGTACAGGGGAGACATCTACTGCTGGGACTGAGGGAAGAAAGTGGATGATATAAAGGATTCCTAGCGCCCACTAAATGAAATTAGAGCCTGTCCATACAAACATTTCAGGCAGGGCTGAGTATAGTGGAATTGATAAGAATTGTATGTTAATTGTGCTAATTTCTATGTGTTTGATCCTGGAAAGTTGAACTGTTTCGATTCCTGTCCTGTGTCTTATCCTTGTTTTCCAGACCCCATTAAAAGCTAGGCAGGATAGTGTCTGGTTTCATTTTTCAAGCTACACTTGGGCTGCATAATGAAACGTTATGCCATTACTCAATTAATACATTGCCCTTCATCATTCACTTTCACAGTACAAGCCAGGTCAACCTGACTACTTGCCATGATGGTGATATAATTGGATTTGGTTTGCAGTACTCTACAATAATTAGCTTCATTAGGATAAATCCATAAATGAAAGAAAATTGCATTTTTGTGTGGACATTGCTAAGCGACATCACTTATGGAAGGAATTTTCTGACTTTTTGATATTTCAGTAGTGGGGTCTCCTCACTTGGGAGAAATGCCCTCATTGTGGACACAGACCATAAATAAAATCTGACAGGGGCTCTGACCCTTCAAAGTCTGTTCAAAATAATATTTTTTGACTGAGTGGTTTTAAATGTGTAAGTACAGTAAATCTTATTGATGACTTATATTGTGTGCTTCCTTTTTGTATGGTAATTATTTTTAAAAAAAATTTGTTATATCTGCTCGATGAGTGAAACATTGACCTGCCAGAAATCCAGTGCCATCCAGTGCACTGTTTTCTCAAGCAGTCTTATCAGCTCTGCCTAGGGTACCTTGGTATACTACAGAACACCCCAGATGGGTAGTTGTACTGTAGTCCTAACATACATCTTGTTCTAGGATAACAACCCTGCTTCTCCATAGATATAGTACTGTACATTAAAGAAACCATAGACAGAGTGATTTTCTTTCCTGCAACCACAGGTTGCAGGAAAGAAAAATAGTTTGATTCCGTCATCAACACAGTCAGTGTTGATGGGAGAAAGCCTCCCATGAAGCCATTGTGTTCTCCCTGTGGAGACGGCAGAACAGCTATTACTGCTAGTAATAATTGCATATAAAATCCAACAGGCTGTTTGTACCCAAGTTGATCAATCGATCAACTTGCATACATGCAGCCTGCCCATACATGGTTTGAATCTCAACCAGTCCCTGCTGAACTGGCTGAGATTCGAACCATCTATGGTTGGATTCAGTGAGCATTGTCACCCCAGGACAGGAAGTGTGCTACTGTTAAGATTACTTGGTGAAAACGAAGAAAAAAGGCCTAAAAATGAGCACCCAGGCAACTGTACTTTTCGTTCAATTTGTCCTTTAATTAATCCACCCACCCTCCTATGCAGCCCACCGGTTAGATACTTGTCTTCCTTCTAGCAATCCTTACTGTTCAGTCCTGCTTAGTGCTGTGCAGCCTTTCCCTCAAAAATGTCCCTGCAGGGTCTTCGTGGGTCGTGGTCCCATTTATTTATATAGGAGTGCCATATTCCATTGGGCCAATGGAGGCTGCCATGAGTACTGCTTACCTAAAGAATGAATGGCACCACAAGGTAGGGCTGTGCAGTGAAGCTTTCTGGAACAGGAGAAAGGTAACTATTATGTACCTCCACTCAAGGAAGAGAAGATTCATTTCCTAAGTGGAGTTGCGTAATAGTTAAATTGGTACGGTTGTCCTTTGATGTTTCTTTTGGTAAAAAATAATATATTCTGATATATTCTGATAAATTGTTGCTTCTTATTATTTCATGTAGGTGATTGCAGACTACTATGGAATTCAAGGAAACTTTGAACTTCGACCAAACGTGAAGCTCCTGTGGGGATCTGGTAGAATAAGACTAGAAGAAAATAAAGTATTCGAACAGATGCCTCCATGTAAAACATGTAAGTTGTTTATGTAATAAACTCTGCATGGAAGTATTAATGGTGTAGATGTAAATCATTATAAATGTACATTAATGGTGTAGATCAGCCTTTCTCATCCTTTTCAACACAACCCTTTAAATACCGTTCTGGTCTCAGGAAATCCTTGCTAAAAATGACTATATCTACAATTCATGATATAGTAGTGTGATGGTCAGTGGCAAGAATGCTCCTTACACTTGTGGTCATTGGGAAGAATATCCCTAAAAAGATCAATGGTGTCAGTGGGAGACAGAAATTGTTCATTGCAACCCCTAGCAACCTCTGGAAAAACCCTAGGGTTCCATGGACCCCTGCTTGTGAAACCCTGGTGTAGATCATGGATAGGCAACTGCAGTTCTCCAGCTTTTCTTAAACTACATGTCCCATGAGGCATTGCAAAACTGACAGTTACAAGCATGACTCCCAGAAGCAAAAACATGATGGTGCAGATGAATATCATTCAAAATAATACGACTGATAAAAGAAAGGGCTTTCTCGGGAAATATGCCACTTTTATTTTATTTTTTTAAAGGTCAAATTTGATTAAATTTTCCAAACGTACAACATATAAGTATGGCGATAAGGCACAATAATGTACAGCAATATGGATTATTTTTATTTATTTCAGGTACTTATATAGCACCGTCAATTTACGCATCCCATTACATACTGTACATTCACATCAGTCCTTAACCCTCACGGGGCATACAATCTAACATTTCTAACCTAGATTCACATACTAGGGCCAATTTAGACAGGATCCAATTAACTCTTAATTATCCAAGAGTGTGGGAGGAAACCAGAGTACCGAGAGGAAAACCCATACAGGCACAGGGAGAACATGCAAACTCCAGGCAAGTGGTGCCGTGGTTGGGATTCAAACCAGCGACCCTACTACTGTCAGATGGAAGTGCTAACCATTTAGCCACTGTTATTATCAGACTACACATCTCAATACAATAAAGCAAAGGTACAATGCATACATATGCCATATAGTGTAGCAGATATAAGAAGCGCCACAGAAAATGCAAAATAAATCAAATAAGCAGCACCTCTAACCAAAAAAAGGTAAAATAGTGTACAAATAAAAAGTGCGCTAATTATTCACAAAACATGCAAGGATAAATAATAAAAATAAATTAATTCATAAATATAAACATAAGTCCAGTCCCTTGAAGACGTCAAGTGATGAAACGCGTTGGACCTGGCCTAGTGGATGTGACGTTGGAACGTTCCTCCCAGCTGTCAGCTGTTTGATCGCAGTGCAGGAGGTTCGTCCCTTGGTTTTTCCCTTGTGGATGTGGCATTTTAGAGGCTGTCATTGCTGGTGTCGGCTAGACACCTTCTTTGTGAGTGCAATACTTTAGTAATAAAATTTTACTGGTTTTAAACGTACTGCACCATCATATCTCTTCTTATTCCTCGAGCTTTGCCCATGTTATTGGAAGAGCATTTGCTGCCTAGCTGTTCCATATGTGCTGATTGGATTACTATTGGTTGCTGTTCCTCTACTGGGATATCCTGCAGATCATCGCTCCCAGAGCAAAATGCTATCATGCTGGTTTATAATATAATCAGCATATAGCTCTGGTGAGTGTATTCATTTCATCTGGTGTCGGATTTGCACATGGGTGTTTGTTTTCAAGATTGATATTAAGTTGATATTGGACTATCACTGTTATGGTGGCTGGACTTATGTTTATATTTATGAATTCATTTATTTTTATTATTTATCCTTGCATGTTTTGTGAATAATTAGCGCACTTTTTATTTGTACAATATGCCATATAGTACTAGGCTTAACACCAGACACATCCAATAGGTAAACAAAGAAACGTGAAAAATTACTGTAAATAAAAGAAAATAAACAACAGAACTAAAAAGAAAAACAAAGGACACTGTTGCTGGTAACATGAAAGCAGTCTGAGCGTTCTTCATAAGGAGGACACTAAAGCTCACGTTATATACATTATGAAGTAATATCAAATCATATGGCAGGGGATTCATGCCACTTTTTATTTTGCATACATCATTGTGCCACTTGTGTGTCATGTACACTGGAAAATCTGTCTTACCCCAAATCTATTCTTAGAATATATAGTGTATTTGAGGGTTTCTGTATGAAATATTACAACTGGCAAGAGGTTCAGTTATTTAGAGTGGTATTAAAGTTTTTTTTTTTTTTTTTCTTTTAACCCTTTTCCCACCTCCCTATAGCAGAAATACTGCTACAGAGCGGCAGAGGTGCACAAAATCACATATATATATACATGATTTTGCATTTCCGGGTAGGGGGGCGCGCACAAACCCTACCCATGCAGCCACTGGCGGCCTCACCTGTCGATCACCGGGTCCTGGCCGGTGATACCCCGTGATTGCCGTGTATCAACAACAGGGGAGAGACCTGTATGTAAACAATACAGTTCTCTACCCTGTCAGCTCCTGCGCAATGATTTTTATGGCTCTGCATAGCAGAGTCATACAAAGCAATGTGCTTACACTGTAAAACACACACACAGTGAAATAGCACACAGTTAACCCTTAGATCGCCCCAGATGTTAACCCCTTCCTGCCCAGTGTTATTAGTACAGTGTCAGTGCTTTTTATTAGCACTGATCACTGTATTGGTGTCACTGAGGATGTCAGTGACACCAAGTCCGTTCCTCCCCCAGTTTCAGAATGCCTGCTGCAGTCCCACTATAAGTCGCTGATCGCCGCCATTATTAGTATAAAAAAAAAAAAGAATTCCAGTATCTATACGACCATTTGTAGATGCTATAAATTACATGTAAGCCAATTAATTTACATGTATTGGGATTTTTTTTAGCAAAGACATGGAGCAGAATACATTTTGGCCTAAATTTATGATGAAATTTGATTTTTTTACATTTTTTTTTACTGGATAAACTCAAAAATATTGTTTTTTTTCTCAAAATAAAAAACGCACAGGCGATCAAATACCACCAAAGGAAAGCTCTATTTGTGGGTAAAAAAGGGTACAAATTTAATTTGGGTGCATCGTTGCATGACCACGCAATTGTCAGTTTAAGTAACGCAGTGCCATATCACAAAAAATGGCCTGGTCAGGAAGGGGAGTAAATCCTCTGGAGGCAAGTGGTTAAACAATAAATAATGTCATACCGTATATACTCGAGTATAAGCCGAGTTTTTCAGCACATTTTTTGTGCTGAAAAACGGCCCCCTCGGCTTATACTCGAGTCAACGTCTGCAGATGAGGCTCCGTCAAGGGGGGCGCATACAGGGGTGGGCAGAGGGCTGCTGTCTCTTACCTGGCTCCCACGATCCAGGAAGAGCTGCTCCTTCCGTCACTCCGGCCACTCCCTCACTCCTGCCGCTCGGCTCTGCCTCCTCACCGGTGATTGGCCGCCAGAACTGTAGCTCAGGAAAGGTACACAGGCGGCCAATCACGGGCGAGGAGGCGGAGCCGAGCAGACCCGCGAAAATCGAGTGAGGGAAAAGCCGGTAAGTGTGCAGTGCAGAGGTGCTGCTGCAACCACATATGCTGGCTGCAGCAGCACCATACTGCAACAGGGGTCAGCAAGTGTCATTGGTGTCACTGATTCTAATGATGGGGCATTATTCCTCCCACTGACACCAACGATGGGGCACTATTCCTCCCACTGACACCAATGATGGGGCACTATTCCTCCCACTGATACTAATGATGAGGCATTATTCCTCTCACTGACACCAACGATGGGGCACTATTCCTCCCACTGACACCAATGATGGGGCACTATTCCTCCCACTGACACCAATGATGGGGCACTATTCCTCCCACTGATACTAATGATGGGGCATTATTCCTCTCACTGACACCAACGATGGGGCACTATTCCTCCCAGTGATACCAATGATGGGGCATTCCTCCCACTGACACCAATGATTACCTCCTCCCACTGACACCAATGATGGGGCACTATTCCTCCCACTGATACCTATTCCTCCCACTGACACCAATGATGGGGCACTATTCCTCCCACTGATACCAATGATGGGGCACTATTCCTCCCACTGACACCAATGATGGGGCACTATTCCTACTTATAACAATTTTATAGTAGGTGCCTCATTTCCCACCCTCGGCTTATACTCGAGTCAATAGTTTTTCCCAGTTTTTTGTGGTAAAATTAGGTACCTCGGCTTATATTCGGGTCGGCTTATACTCGAGTATATACGGTACTTACCTGTTCTGTGCAATGGTTTTGAACAGAGCATTCCCAATCCTCTTCTTCTTAGGTTCCCCGCCAGTGCTTCTGGCTCGTCCCCTTGGCCAGTGCCCCCAGTAGCAAGCCACTTGCTATGGTGCATGCTCACTCCCAAGCCCTGCTCTATGCATCCATAAGACACATAGAGCCACGGCTCAGCCTCGCCCTGCCCCCTGATGTCTCCTCATTGTCTCACTGGCTGTGATTGACAGCAGCGGGAGCCAATGGCTCCCGCTGCTGTCTCTGCCAGTGAGGAGAGGGAGTGCCGGGACAGCCGAGGCACTCATACACTTTGCTGGATTGAGAAGAGGTTCAGGTGAATACTTGAGGGGGTTGTGGGGGGCGCAACACACAAAAGGTTTTTTTTTACCTTCATGCGTAGGATGCATGAAGGTAAAAAACCTTCAGCCTTTAGAACCACTTTAATGTTGTGATCTGGGGCCAAATAGCATTAGAGATCAGGCTGCACATAGCACCGATCAATTATAAGGAGAGATATGGGCCCTTCCCTCACTTTTGGCAAAGTCTGACCTGCATAGTCATTTGTGTAGATGGGGTTAGAAAGTTCGGCAGTTCCTGCCATGGATGCACACTGTCTAAAATATATATAAAAATAATTATTTTTATACAAACCAAAGTTAATCAACTTTAAAAAAAAAATAAACAAAGCATTTTTATTTTCCCCTTTTGAACTTTTTTTTGGGCAAATTCGAAGTCAGGACATTGCAACAATTCACTGTTATCTGAAGTCTTGAAGACCAACCTTAGTTGTTTTTCAGCTTTGCCACATGTCATACTGACCTGTCTTGGCATCCTGTTCCTGTTCCTAATTAAAATAAACAACAATAAGATATATAGTACATCACACGGATCCTCTTTTATTGGTATAAGGATATGTCCCTGTCTATTTCTGTCTGTCTGCCACACAAGGTCTTCTTTCTCCTGAGTGAGGAAATGAGCTCCATGTAAGTTCTGATTTTTTTCAAGTCCAGTATTTCTTAATTCCTGGTGGCTGAATGCAATGTGGGGGAGCAAACGAATGGTTAGTATGGTACTGTCAGGGCTCCAGGAAGGACCAGAGGTGTGTGGAACGACACAGGGAAACACAGACTTCAGGTATAGCGTATAAACAAGATAATTTATTAAGGACAACACAAACATAAACGCAGTGCAACAATCCAAACCCAAAACTAACACAAATACATACAACAAGGTGAAACAAACCCAAACCTAAACTGATATATATATATATATATATATATATGTATGTATGTATATATATATATGGAGCACAACGTAGTCAGGCGGGCCGGGTCGGTAGCTAACGGGCACACAGGGTACCAGGAGCTAGCGGAAGAGTGGTCAGGAATAGCCGAGGTCAGGACAGGCGGAGTTCGTTCAGAGTCAGGATCAAAGCAGGATCAGGCAGGATGCAGGTACAGGGGCTCATGGGAAACATACACCAAGGAACTGATCACAGGCCTGGCTCCTGCTTAAATACACCTCCTGCAGTCAGCCTCAGGTGATGGCCTGATTGCAGGAGTGAGATTCTGGCTGCTGAGAGCACCCGCTGGCCAGCCTTGGTACTGCAGCCCACAAGGCAGGTGAGTCCCACCACCATTGGCGAGTCCATTCCTGACAGGTACTGGTAAAAATCTGGGGAGATTTAAAGGCAGAACACAAGGCACCAAGTTCCCATTCGGGGAAAGGTTATAATTCTAAACTACTGTCAATTTATTAATAAAATATGCACATATGCATCCTCACTAAATTGGTAAAAAGCCTATGTGTGACCCTATCCTTACCTTCAGAAGTGGTACACATAGCCACCAGCACTGGGACCTTGGAGGACCCAGATGGATATCTTGAATGAAGAAAAGGACAGATAGGTTCAGCCACACTGCGTTCCTTACAACCACCAAGAACCTTAAAATCCATAGAGTCCCGCTAACACACATCCTACCTGCCAAAACACAGATTAGAAGTTGTCTTCACAATCATCAGTGCTATATTTGGCTGTACTGATGGTTCCCTACAAAATAGGATGCAGGAAATTTCACACCCATTTGTACACCGCTGCATCCTCAATTACCTCTAAATAATAAAAAGAAAATAACAGCTCTTTGCAGAATGGAAGTATAATTTGCACCTGTTATTTGACTTCCTTAATTAATCTTCCTGTGACTTGGCCCGTTTGCACTCTAACAAAATCCATTTTAAAGGCAAACGTTTTTTTTAACCTTGTTTTCATAATCGCCTCTTTAAACTTTTCAAAATCACCTTATTCTGGTCATTGGGAATAAGTTTCTTTTAACTTTTTCTGTGTCACAAGCTTTGCCATATCTCTCCTAATAAAAATTTTCAAATCTAGCATTAAAGTGATTGTAAAGCTTGAATTTTTTTTTTAATTAAAAAAAATGAACATGTCATACTTACCTGCTTTGTGCTATGGGTTTTGCACAGGGCAGCTCCTATCCTCCTCTTCTGGGATCCCCCGCTGGTGCTCTTGGCTTCAAACTCCCCCCCCCCCCCCCCCGTGAGTGCCCCAGACAGCAGTCACACATACCAATTGTCCAACCCTCAGTGCACATTCGAAGGCATTGACATCATTTACATTTATTTATTGAGTGAATTCAACGTGACTGCTCCAGAAATGGTATACTGGCCTCTATTAGATAGCTAGTAAATTTTAAAGTGGGAGTCAGAAACCTGTAGATCCCTATCTACCAGTAGATAGGGATCTGTGACTGGTAGATCTCAGTCTGGGCTTGCTGACCCACCATCCCAGAGCATCAAACAGAGTGCAATGCAGAGGAACTACTTGTAAAGTTGGAGCTGTGGTCAGGAGCAAGAGCCACATAAATCAATGCCTCCTCTGTAGTGCTGCCTGCTGTCCCATGCCGAGTGATACCAACTGCACTCTAGGCAGGCATATCCTGGCTAGCGGTCTCCAGAGTGGTGCCAGCAGCAGGAAAGAAGAGATCTTCAGGTCATTGTGAAGCAATACACTGGGCATAATAGTATAGGGCTGCTTTCACACTGATGCGCTGCGGTTTATCCACACCGTGGGTGCCGTGCAGCCCACATGCAGCTTTCCTGTGGGTTTGCTGTGCCTGGCCATTCCTTGCACCATGCCTGCAGGATATAATGCAAGTCTATGGCAAAAAGCTGCTAAACCGCAGCACATCAACGTCAAAGCAATCTTATAGGGGGCTCATATGTTATAGTTTAGGGGGGTGAAAAACCCCATAGTTAAGATGTGTTTTAACCACACCCCCTTTAGCTGCAGGCCAGGGGTATACACGTTGCAGCTGCAGAAGGAGTTATATGCCCTGTCATGATTGGTGCAGGGGCGGACTGACAACTCATGGGGTCCCCGGGCAATAGGGGATCATGGGGCCCCTGTGTCCTTGCCCAAACTAAAAAAAGCCTATGAAAAAGGTACCAGGGGAATCTCATGGGCCCCCCTACAG